CTAATACAAAGATTTCTGATGCTTGCAAGACTGCTGGTGAGATGTTGCTTGTCCCATCCCTTCCATGGCTGAAGGGCTCTGAAATCTTAGCACATGTGAAACAAACATATTCATCAATTTACATATAAGAACTATAGTGATTAACCATTATAATAACTGTTTAAGATTCAATCATTTTTCTTGCAAAAAAATAACAAAGATGTTCAACTATCCCAGGAATTTAAAAAATGTATTAGATAGGAGGGAATGTGGAATGTGAACCAGGAGAGGGAGCAAAGAATTATTTGCTTTCTGAAGCAACCATAAATCACTGCGATAATATTTACCACTTCACAATCTCCTGTTTGTCACTAGAGTCTCTAAGGAATTCACCACTAATTGAGAATAGACTTTCCAGTTTAATGGCAACATTACAAATGGTAAGTAATTCATTTCGTATGTTGCTGACTTCAGCATATAACAATGATTGTGAACGTATACACACCCAGACACATATTAATGTTTAAAATTGTAACAGAGTTCCTACCCCCAGGCTGGTATCCTAGGACTCCACATATTCTTGTATTGTCTAGAGTTTGTTGTTTGCTTGTTTGGCCACCCATCTCAAATTCATGTCTCTGGGCAGCTAACAATATTTTAAAAACAGCATAAAACATAAAAGGACAAGAAACGACAACATACATATAAACCGCAGCTGGGGTAAAAATATTTCCACTGAACAAACTGGATACATTGCTTAGCGTAATGATAAAAGGAAAGAGAAAAGCAAACTCAGCAAAATTGCAGCTTTCAGATTAGCTGGTTTATCTTCAGTCTGAGTGTTCATACTGTAAGTTGTCTGCTCTTCACACACAAGGATGAAGAGGCACAGGTACAATACAGAGTGCGCAATGTATTCGGCAGCTATGCTTTTTAATTCATTTGATTTCTGCTGGGTAGGGGCCTTTTAACAGCTTAAATTGTCTTTGCTATATAATTGCCATGAATCCTTAGGATGTATGGTGGTGTAGAAATAAAGGAAATTAAATTAAGAATAAAATAGTGCTTTCACAGACTTTCTCTACTTTTGAACTAAAGTGCTTTCCATCAATATTTCAGTCAAAGGAAAACTATGCTAGCCTTACATTTACTGTCCCTATTGTCAATCCTGATCTTGCCTCTATTACCTCTCTTCCCAGTCATGGCTGATCACCTGACCTGACTCCCTCCCCCCATGACAAAGCCTAACCCATTTTATACCCTTGCATAATATTGGAATAAGGAGCAAAAGATTAGTTAAACACCACTACAATTAAAGGCAGTTTAAATCTGTCTCACTCATGGGCTGGAGATGAGATGAAGGCAACATCATGGCGAGACAATGGGCCAGGGCCACGGTTAGATATAAGTGGGGAGATTTGGCTGCTCTTCATTGTGGTAATACTAGTGATAGTTGCTCCTCTTCCTTTTCTTCCTCCTCCTCCTCCTCCTCCTCCTCCTCCTCCTCCTCCTCCTTTGAAGTGTTTGTAAACCAAGCTGGGATCATTTTTAAAGAAAATTATATGTACATATTTTATATGTCACCTGTTATCCACAATGGATATAATATTTGGAGTTACTTAGGATAAGAATCTCCATGAATGAATGGATGGCTTCAGCTTTTTCCTGGAAGATGCGCTTTGGGTTTAAAAGCTCTGCATCTCATTATAAAAAGAGATAAAGCTCCCAGGGGTAGCCAGCAGCCATGCCAAAGCTGTTTACAACACCCCTCCTCCAAATAATCATGTACCTAAAACCTTGGGATCTCATATTTTTTCAACTGACTTTAATGGACTAACAGCCAGTAGATAGTTGTAATGGCATAAAATTTTACTGTGCACTGGTTTCTGCATAACAGTATTCAACATTATGCAAGGTGGGCAGACCAGATGCCAGTTTGAGTAACTTTTTCTCGGTGTTACACTTGTCGTGTATCACATATGGCAACAGGTTTCTGGGAAGACCCATCATACTTTTCCTTTTGGGGTAGGCAATGTTATGCAAAGTGGGGAAAAGGAGTGAGAAACAATAACTGATGAATTTAAAGATATGAAGTAAGAAAAAAAAGAAATGGAAATATAGCTGAATTTAGTTTAGCAAACACCATTCATCTCTCCATACCTCTCTATCCTTGTGAACCATATTTGTTTCCACCACATCCATATGCTGATTCATACATTGCTTTTGGGTTTTTTTAATCTTCCCACTTTTCTCTTTTGCAGAATATTGTTAACTCCATCCAACCACAATTTGCTCGGTCTTCCCCCTCTTCTCAATATGCATTTAATCTTCCTTCATATATTTGATTTGCAATTCAATCTTTAGTCATTCTCTGTACAGTATATGACCAACCTACTTCTACATACTTCTTTTGTACTGGTCACTCACTTTTGCATTTATTCAGCACCTATTCATTCTTGAACCTATCTCTTTTTGTTTTATCGCATGCACTTATGTACTCCTGTCCCACTGCTGTCAGCATTCTTTTAACTTTCTCTGGATGGTGACACAACCAATCCTCAATTCTATAAATTAAGTTGGCAGAAGTTCACTAATACTCAGCCATCTTCACTTCTTTTGACAAACATGTATGCTTTACAACAGACCACATACTCCCATTATCTTTCTAAGACCAGCATTTGCATATCTTAACTTTTTTTCCATCTACGTTCCCTACTTTAATAAACATTCTATAAGTTCATCAACTTGCTCTAGTCTAAAAATATATATTTATGTATAATCATTCATCCATTTTCCCCATCAAACCCATCTACCTTATGATTAACACATTACTTTTCAGCTCCATATTCCTTGTTGTATCATACAATCTGTCTAACATTCAAAGAAAATATTCGTCTTTTCAGCCAAAACATGGCATTATCTGCATACAAAAGTACATGTACATTCACATCCCCAACTGACATATGTCTAACATCATCACAAGAATTACTTATGCACTGGTCTTGTAAAATCAAGGTTGCAACACACATCCTTGTTTTACTCTCTGCTCAGTGTTGAGCCATTCACTAAGCATTCCATTTATACTTGTACAGTATATGCTTTACTACCATCATATACTGCTCTTATCCCATTCAGCAACCAATCTTCAACTCCATATTTGAGGGAATTATAATGGGAGCTAGAGTTTTTCAATATAGAAATATTAGTTATGTCAACAGCTATCAGACATCTAGCTTCAAGGCTGAAAATCGCATGGCTAAATATCTATTGAGAGCCAGTTTACTGTAGTGATTAAGGCACTGGGCTAGAAACCAGGAGACTGTGAGTTCTAGTCCCACCTTAGGCATGAAGCCAGCTGGGTGATTGTTGGCCAGACACACCCTCTCAGCCCTAGGGAGAAGGCAGTGGCAAGCCATTTCTGAAATCTCGCTAAAAAAAATGCAAGGACTAACCGAGGCAGTTGCCAGGAATCAACAATGACTCAAAAGCATCAAATATATATCTATTAAACCATAGGAAAGGAGGAGAAAAGGGACACTGTTATTAACTGCTGATACTGCAAGAAGGTTCTCTACCTCCTGTCAACAAAGGGCAATCACCTGGTTAAAGTAGCTCCAATCTACTATGTAATAAGGATTTTTTATCTAGTCATGCCACATCAAGTGTCTGGGAAGCTTCTGCTGCATTCTAGCCAGGGAGTCTGACAATATTATGTGAAACATCCAGTAATTCAAGCCTATTCCTTTTATTATACGCTTTTGCTATATCAGCAGATATACAATAAACATGTTCACATTCATGCCTTTCTCGATCACCAACTGATGAGCAAACATCTGTTCTGCACACCTCTTGTCCCACATTCAGCTGCACTGCACTTCCAAAATGTTGATCACTCTCATTTCTTTCAAACCCCTTCCCAGGCACACTTAACAAATAAATCTCCCTGTAGTTTTGCATTCACTCTTGCTACCTTTTCTTCAGAACAATAAAAGCATTCTTTCCATTATCCAGCACAAATGCAGTCCTCACACACATTAAACACAACCAGTTTGTAAGAAATCACATTCATATTTTAACATTTCTCATGTTACAGTATACTGTCTATATCTGCAGCCTTATCATGCTTGCCATTCCTACAGGATTTATGACTTCCTTTTCATTCCTTTTTATCAGACATCAATATTTATAGCATTAATTCCAATTCTATTCCTGATATATCACTATTATTCCCATACAAATCTATAAAATACTCTTTCCAGCATTGCCTCACTTCTGTTTTATCCCAAATTTAGTCACTTTTATTTTTGATTCTGTTCAGTGCTGGAGTGGAAGGAAAGAGAGAAGAGGATGACCAGCAGCAAGGTGGATGGACTCAGTTACAGTGGCCATGGATGCATCATTAGAAGACCTGAAGACCAGGTTAGGGACAAATCATTATGGAGAAAATCTGTGTATGTGATCACAAAGACTCAATAGCAACTTGATGGCACATAATCAATCAATCAATCAATCAAT